CTGCTTACAACTTGTCGCTGGAGATTAGATTTGAGCTACTGCATTGTCATCATGCAGTAATTGGTCAACAAACATCCATTCTCATCTCTTAATTCCCCAAATTAAAAATATTTTTGATCAAAGAAAGCTTTTATAAGGATATAGTACAATTCCTATGTCTAAAGCCTCTTTCCTTATAGTAAACATGATACATAAGGCAAATATAATCTCTCCTGCAGCCACAGCTCTCAAAAATCTCCCTAGAGAAACTATTGAAAAGTAACTTCCCTAAAGTGAGAATGATTTTACCTTTGCTCTAGAGCAAACACAAGCGTCCAGAAGGATAGAAACAAACCATCTAGGCACACTCTTGCATTAAATGCCTGAAATGTTAAAACCAAGTCCCAGATTGATCCATCTCCATATGCTAGAAATTCCAAAGAACTTCCATTTGGTTTTTAAGAAACCCTGTGCCTAAGGTCCCCATGGGCATAACTCCTTCCACAGGTGACGTCTTTACCTTCCTGAGTAACCAGCTTCAGTTTTACTGCAAAACTGCAAGGGTCGATGGCCTGAAACTGAGGCGCCATGTGACTGACTGTGTCGGAGTGGGTGGGGCCAGAGCTAAGCGGACCGTCAGCGGGTAACACGTAACACAGACGTGTAAGCATTGAAGGTGGCTTATCGATCTTAGTACAGATGATTAAGAGACTTCATGCATGCTAATTAATGAGTCTCGATTCAGGACACAACAAAGAGAAGTATTTTAGGGATCAAGATCATCCTGCTAATCTGGTTGAGTTCAGGTGTCAAAATAACGAAACAGCCTTCCTCCAAAGGTCTTGGAAATTTCGGAAACTTTCATTTTTCTAATTTTCCATTGTTAAAAAATACCAATTCAATATGGAGGCTGGGATTACATCAGCCTTGCACAGGTGTGGACTCTTCAAACTAGTACAGGTGTCCCACTGCTGTGCTCAGGCTCTCAGAGGCAGGCTGGAGGGGTCTGTAAACTACATCAGCTAGCTACTGCCATCCAGGGACCAACATCAGCCTGTCTCATGAGAATGATCGCTTTCACACAAGCGGGTGAACAATTGCAGACACAGGGGGTGAATGGTATTCCCCTTGGGTTAAAAGATGCACAGAATACGGATGAAGCGTTTTCCCACGTGCCTGAAAATTTCACTTAACCCTTACATTTTCATTCTCATTTTAAAGATGAGAAACTGGAGCACAGAAAAGCTAAGTCACCTGAGAAAGGTCACACGGCAAGAAACAGCTGGGACAAGACACCAGCCTGGTCAGTCTGGTTCCGAAGTCCATCTGTGGCCGTACCCCACACTAAGCATTTTACAGTTTCTAAAGGCCATACTCTCACACATGCGCAGACCACAGCTGAAATGTGCATTTCACAGACGAGTTTAAAGAGCAAGCCAATGAAGCCCAGCCTTCCCTATCCAAAGTGAATTGCTGAACATGGAAAGGCTAAAATGTATACGTAATAAGGGGAGAATCCTGTGCACAACTTTTCCTCTCCCATGAACACCATTCCCCACATCAGCTTGAAGTATGTGTCATGCCAGGGCCTGTGGTACCTACAGATGGTTTTTATTTCTAAATCTCTGCAGCTTTCAGGAATGCACTCCCCAGTCTGCTGAGTGTAGCTTTCTGCACCAAGATCCTTGCTGGTCAAATGTCTCTACTTCCCAGATTCCAAGGATTTGCATTTACATCCTTAGGGTGCAGAAAAATGGAGGTATAAGCTTTTCCCCGTTCCTCGCTCCCATTTTATCCCCTTTCCAAGGCCCAGAGGGAAGAGGAGAATGCTGTACTAACCAGAATTAAAATTTAACCGTGAAATGGTGAAAGTTTCTGTATGATGGCCTTTCCTCAAGAGAAGGTCCCCACACCTTCTTCTCCTATAATGGTTACCCAGAGGTCTGCCTTCCTAGTTGTGGAGGAACAGCATGTACCACAGCCCTCGAGCGCAGGCTGGGGAATGCGGCGGTGTGAGGACTGCTGCTCCATTCTCTCAAAGGCCAGCTCTTTGCACTACATAAGCAGCCCTGAGAAAAATCAGAGTGCAGCCATCCTGACACCACGTGACCCACTCCCAGACCAATCACATGGCGCCTTGCAGGCGGAAGTGAGGAATCACCACATCTGGGCACCTCTGGAGCTGGCAGCTCCTACTGCCAATCAGATACCCCAGAAATCCTCAAGTCTTCTTGCATCAGCCTGGTGCACAGAAGCTAATGATGTCAGGTCCCGAATGGGCTGAGCCTCTGAAACCCAGCCATTCTGCTTCTTCCTTCATAGACAGGTATGTCCTTTGTAAAGACCCAAAATAAGAATGAATTTTACAACCGAGGAAAAATTCAGCAAGGTTTGATGTAGTCTGCTGCATGTAGACTTCCTAATATTTAGAGATTCTCCAAGCCATGTTCTTTCCACTGTTCTCTGGAAGCACCTTCTCCATGTATATTTCTAAGGCATCTTTTGAACACTTCTGTTTGCAACTTCATCCATGGTTATTTCAGAGAATACAGCTTGTGTTTGTGTAACATTTTAAGAGGCAAACCAGAAATGATGGGGTTGAGAAAACCTGACAAAGGGCAAAGCTTCTGCACCTGAGGATTTTAATTATCCAGCTAAGTTATCTGATCATTGGGAAGATAAAGCAGGTTTGAATCGAGCAGATAAAAAACTACTTAACGCAGGACAGGAAAGGGGTAAAAAGAAAAAACAAAACTGCTTAAGGGGGGGTGTAGCTCAGTGATGGAGCACTTGCCTAGGATGTGTCAGGCCCTGGGTTCAATCTCCAGCAAGGGACACGCTTCAGAGGAATAAAGACCTGTGCAAACCAAGGTGCTTCCTCCAAAAGAATCAGACACCAGAGGTCCATGCTTTTGATTAATCCACAGGGTTTGGGGTTTTTTTTGACGTTTTGGGAGAACAAAAATTACAAAAATAACGCAGGAAAACGGGTATGTCCTTTAATAGGCACTGTTCATTTCAGCTTTTAAAAGTTCAGTAAGGCTTAAGATTGAGTTTCAAAGCTTCTAAATAAGCATCTCAGCTTATAATGCTCAGTCCAATCCATCTATTTTAGGAATCCACTAGGAGAAACTGCAAATGAATGTATCAGTGGTCTTTCCATTTACCCCTTTTGAACATATTTAGAAAGACAGAAACTGATTATTTTCCAAAGACAAGTATGAAACCACTATAAAATAACATTCCATATCAATTTAGTAGTGTATCTTATTAAGATTTTATGGCATTTATATATACAGAAATGTGTATCTATTGTATCTACATGACACTTTAATTGCTCTTTAAAAAGATTTTGGATGGTTCTGCAATTTTATATAAAACTACCATGAACAGCACAGACATCTATTTTACAGTGATCAAATCTACAAATGTTAAGTTTTCCTCTGGTATCATGTTCCACCTATTTTAAACACAGAATCAAAATGACTTGCAATGGTTCTTAATGTGAAATTAAAAAAATAAAAGAAAAGAATCTAAAGATACCAACTTATCACATCTTAAAGCACCATATGGTTTGTTCCACTTATTCCAGGCAGGGTACAGCAGACTCCAAGGATGGGGAGCGTCTGTGCCTAAGGCCTCTGCACTGAATATTTCAGTTAGGCCATGAGGCCTGGTGGGAAAAAGCGCCCCCTCCCTGCTCTCCACAACCTACAAGGACACTCCGGGCACAGGGTAAAGAATAGAAATGCTCCCATCCATGCAGTCATTCTACTGAACTCGACTGCACTCAACTAGGGCCCTTTCTCCTCCTGCTAAAGCTTGGGTAAAGGAATAAGATAAAGGATAAATTTTAAAATTCGATTTTGCAATGATCTTGTTTAAGTATCTGAAGCTTACTGAATTCAGAGCATACTGGTATTATCTACTCAATTTAGTCTATTTTCCAATGCACTCCCACCCAAAAAAGACACTACCTTAAAGAAAGGGAGAAAGACCCTGTACGGTAGCTCTCTAAACCGTACTAAACCAATCAACACTACGGAGCAGAGAGGGTGGATGCCCTGCTAACTGGAAGACAACCAGGTAGCCATCCTCGCAAACGCAGGCTCTGCTTATTAACATGATTAGTACCAAGTTCTTATCAAGAGACAAAAGAAATGGTTTCCCTTTGCTGCCACGTGTTATTCTACCAAGATGTACTGAGAACACCTCACCACAAAATCTTTCTAAATATAACCTAAAATTGCAGAAATATAATACTAAGCTCCAATGTGCTATAATAAGAGTCCTTCTTTGGGTTGCGATAAACAAACTAGCCCCTAAAGAAATCTACAGGACCATCGTCCAGGAAAATACATCATTTAAAAGACAATCAGCCATCAGAGGTCTATCATGGCTTCTGCCAGCTACGGTAGGAAAGGTGGGGTGGCATCTTGGACCTAGAGAACTTAACCCCAGCACCCTCCCTGGCTTCTTCCACCTCTTCTGGGCCTTCCCTTTTGGGGATTCTCAATGAAGCAATAAGGCAGGAGCCTGGCGAGGTAACCATTTTCTCGCTCTGGTTTTGTGAGCCATCTTGTTCCTCGGCATCCCGAGACGTCTTAAAAAAATCTTTCTGGGTGGGGTCACTCGGGGCAACACCCGCAGCTGGTTTTCCACCCATGTCCCTTGGTCAAGTGGCCAGCCACAAAAACCTGTCAGCTCAATGGTTAACTGATGCCAATTCAGAGAGCCATCATCCCGGGAGTAGTGGGCTTCCCGAAACATTTAGGGCAAACGCCTTTGTTCCTCGGCTTCGGAGGGGAGTAGGTGGGTGGATGATGGGTAGATCAGATCGGCTGCCGGGCTCTCCACACCCTGCTCTGCGGCGCATGCGCGAGGCCAAGACAAAGGAATAGGTAATTACAGTCCCGATTCATCATTTTGCCCGCAGTACCGGAGGTCTGCTAGCCCTGGCCGTAATCCCCGGGGAAGGGGGGGGGGGCTGATCCACACCCCTAGAGGAAAAGACCACCTGGATGCCAGTGTCCGTTTCCAACCCGCCACGCCAGTGCCGTGGCCTCCACGGGGACAGAGGTGTGCCACTGACCGGCTTGGTGCTCAGCGCGCATCCACGCGCGCCGCGCCGCGCCCCGGCACAGGCAGCCGGCCGAGCTCCTCTCCAGGCGGAAGCGCCGCTGGGGCAGCAGATGAGGAACCCGGCCAAGCGCTCGATGAATATTCATGAAAAGAATGCGGTTGGCGGTCACGCATTGTGTGCGCGATCCGATCAGAGGTTTCTTCTGCAATTTTTTTTTTTTTTAATTTTACTGCTGAAGGGAGCGGGAACCCGACTCCAGGCTGGGGGTGGGGGTGGGGGCCGGGCAGGAGAACCCGGAATCCGGCTGGAAGCGGAGCCGAACCCGCTGTCAGATTCGGCTCCCACCCCCAGCCCGCTGGGGAGGGCTTGCAAAACGCAGCGCCCCAGGACACCCACGGGAGGGACGCGGCCACGTCCACGCTGGGCTCGCGTCTGCTCGGAACGCGCTTCTCCAGCATCCCGGAGCGCGGACCGCGTGTCCCGGGGCCACCCCGAACCTGGACTCCGAGTCCCACGCGCCAGGAAAACCCATCCGCACACCCACGTCCCTCCCCCCACGCCCCCGGCCCTGCCCGGGTCCCTCCTCATCTCCTCGCGACGCCCGCCCCACCCCACCCCACCCCACCCCACCCCCATCGCGGCTCCAGCGCCCCTCGAACCGCACAGACACTTTCTTCCTCCTGCTAACGGTGCCGAAGACAGAAACGCCCGGGTCAGCACGCAGAGCCCTGCCTTGGGGCTCAGTGCACTGAAAATAGGGTTTTGCGTTCGATACGTGCCCCTCCCGCCCAAACCTCCCGCAGCACCTCGCCGCCTCGCCCCGCCCACCCCGCACGCGGCCGAAGCCGCCCCCTCCGAGGCGGGCGAAGCCCCGGCACCCCGCATCCCGCGGTGCGCGGAGCCCCACACCCCCAGAGACCCACGCCCGCCTCCGACTCCTCCAGCGCGCGGCTCCGGGGGACCCGGGGCTCCGGGCGGGGCGGGGACCCCCAGGCCCCCGAGGCCCGGCGGCCGCAGCAGGGCCCGGGCGCGCCTCCTTACCGGCTCCGGGTGCCTGTGCCGCCCCTGCGTAAGCGCGGTGTCGCCGAGGGGCCCGGGTCGCTGGCGTCGTCCGGCCGGGTACCTGGGCGCGGGCGGAGGCGCTCTCGGCTCGACGGCGGAGCCCGCAGCGAGGAGCGAGTTGGAGCGCTGCCGCCGCCGCCGTCGCCGCTGTCGCTACTGCCGCCGCCGCTGCAGCCTCTGCATTTCTCGCGCGCTCCCCCTCCCCTTCCTGCCCAGCGCCCTCCCCCGGCGCGAGCGCCCGCCCCGCCCGGCGCGGACCCCGCCCGCCCGGCGCTCTCCCCTCCCCTCCCCTGCCCTGCCCTGCGCTCCCTCCCCTCTCCTCCACTGCGCCCGCCTCCCCCCTCCCCTCCCCTCCTCCACCCTCCCCCGCACCTCCCCAGCTCTCCGCGCCCCCCATCGGGGTCCCCTCCCCCACAGCTCCCCGCTATTCCCGCTTCCCCAGCTCGCTCCGATCTCGCTCGGTGCGCAGCTCCCCACCCGCTGCCCCCCATTCTGGTCCCTCCCCTCCCCTCCAGCCCCATCTACGTTTCCCACACCCCTCCCGCCTCGCCCTCTTTTCCTCCCTCTCTCCCGCTCTCCCGTCTATTTGCGATGGTTGGGTGAGAAGCACTCGGCTGTGCCTCAGACCTCGGGGGCTGCTGCTGAACGGCGCCCCCGCCGCAGCCTCCCTGCTCCGCACCCCGGTCCCGCCGGCTCGGACGGCCGTGGCGGGAGTGAGGTTGGGGTGACCCAGAGGCTCCCCTCTGCCCACCGGACAGACCCGGAGGGTTGAGGGCGCCCCGGCGACAGGCGGCTCCGGCCGACGGGGCGCACGGCGTCGCCCCCGGGGATGCTCGCGGGACTCGGGAGAGGACGGAGGAGGAGAAGCGCCCGCGGAGAGGGGCCGTCGACCTCGGCTGTCCGAGCTTTCCTGAAGGCCGGCGGATCTCGGAAGACCGGGCCGCCGCGGAGCCAAAACCGGGGCCAGGCGCGCATGGCCCGGGCGTCCCGCGGAGGCTCTGTGTGTCCGTCCCACCGGGACAGAAAACCGCCACCAGGGCTGGGAGACGTGTTCGCCCTGCTTACCTGTTGGCAAGAGGGAAATGCAAAAAAAAAATTTAATAAAAAATAATAATAACAGCGTCACATCGTTTAAAGATAGCTCTTTCACGAGACAAAAGCCAATTTTTCCTTCCCGCAAAGCCCTGCTGAATCTTTGGAACTTTTATTTGCGGCATGCTGGCGCCCTCTGGCTGCGTTTGGATTGCTGACTAGTCCTTCTCGCCTGTTCCATCCCCGCGAGGAAAAATCTAGCTAAGGTGGAAGCTGCCCTCCTGACCTGAGAGTGAATTCCAGACAGGCTTGGCATCCAGCATCAGGGCGACACAATGTAACAATGCTTAGGCGGACAGATGCCCGAGGTAAGTGTAACCCGATCCCATGGGAGAAAGGTAAGTACATTCTCCCTCGCAGGAAAATAACCATTTCACAACTTGGCTGATGGGTAAACCCAACAGGGGAGCGGCAGTGTTACAGTGGAAATACTTGACCGAACGCGTATGTACAGCATATGAGGTCAAACCAAATTAGATCAATGCGTGCAGGCTGGAAATACACCGTCACCAAGAGACGGTAAGGAAAAAGACAGGATGTTTTGTTGTCTCCTCTCGCTCTCCTTTTGCTATTTAAATTCAATAAGAAAGAAGCACCATACAGGAACAAGGAAGCGAATAATAAGATTGTCTCCAAAACATGTTATTCATTCATTTGAACCTTCGCATAGGTCTCTTATGCCAATGCATCATCCGTGTAGGCTCTCTCAGCCTTCTATGTGGGGCAGGATAATTCTGACACCACCATCGGTTGTGACAACCGAAAATGTCTCCAGATGTTGCTACATCACACGTCCTCAAGAGGGAAAAATCACTCCAAGTTGAAAACCATTAACTGTAAAATTTTAAACATTTATGAGCAAACCTAATTGAGTTAGAATCAAATCTACTCTTTTATATTCAAGATACTTATTGAGTTTGTTAGAAAGGCTATTGAGTGAGCATTCGGGTGGTTTTTTTTTTTTTTTTTTTAGTCTGGATGATCATTTTAAAATTAGTAAATATATGTTGCTATTGTATTTGCATGATAAACGTGGGTATTATATTCTTTCAATGTTCTGTTTCCAATTTTTCAAGCAAAAAGTAAGACAAGATAAAAATTAATGTTCAGTACCAGCAGTGCTTCTGGCTAAATTTCATGATGGAGAGAAAAAAACAAGCCTTTCAAAGGTGTGATTGGAATACAGATCTCAGGTTACCATGGAAACCAGAGCCAAAAGCCTACACCAGTGAGGAGAACTGTGGGTCTCTTCAGTCTTATCTTCCACTAGATTTAGTTGTCCTCTTAAAAGCCTTTTTTTAAAAAATGAGATGACTTATTCAATGAAAGAGAGATGCAACTGACCAATAGTGCTCTTAATTTTAAGAATAGAAAATTTTGGAGAATTTGTAGATCTGCAGCAAATGGTAGCCAAAATGTTATACTTAAGTGCAATTCTGTTACTGCATGCACTCCAACTTGATGATATTTGAGGCCTCATTTTTAATTGTTCCTCTAACATGTTACATTTTAGGGTGTGCTCTCTTGAACATTTCTTTAACGCTCCAGTTTAGGGGATGAATGAATAAGCATTTGTGCTTGGTTTTAAAAAGCTGTTAGCATTACCTACCAGTTGTGGACATCACATAGCTGTGTAGATTATAAACTAATGAATCTCGGAGCACATGTTAAGGGTATAATTTATGGTCAACTTGAATTAACTTTTACCATTACATTCATGAAAAAAAAAAACAGCTTTACTCTCCAAGCAATGCTGGTACTGAACATTAATTTGTATCTTATTTTTTGTTTGAAAGATTGCAAACAAAGAATATCAAAAGAAGGTAATACCCGGGTGCAGGCTTATCATACAATACAACAGGAACATAATGACTGTTTTCAATAAACAGAGTTAGCCTTCCTGGGTTACAAACGGAATCTCGCTGCCATTTCTAATCCCCTACATAACTTGCTGCAGTATCACATGGCACACGTCACTGAACATATTTATACAAAGTAATTATTCCATGATTACTGCTTTTTACTAAAGGATTTCCCAAAGAATTGCTTGCAATATAATGGACTCATTGTCACCTAAATTAGTGAGTTACAAAAACTTCAGCAGGCATTCAGCTTTTCAAATCACATCTGTGGTGTCAACTGAGTCACAAAGTAGATTATTTCCGTAGATCTTATTTCAGCTCTGAACCTCAGTGTGACTCCATCCCTAACTTTGGTCCCCACCAAAGTCTAGCATCTTTGTCTCCCATCCTTTCCTCCTACATAGTAAGAAGGTTAAGATTTCAAATAAAATATGTAGAACAAAATGAGTTTAGAAAAACATGATGACAATAAATACTCCAGCCACCTTTGCTTAGCATCCTGATGGATTATTCCCATTCAGAGTCACTAAATTAGCCCAAACCCTCTAAGACCATGTAGAGAATTCAGCTGTGCTGCTGAGCTTGGGACAGAGGATCACTTGGCTACAATTCGGTTACCAAATCTTATCTACAAATAGTAAGCAGGAGTCTAGACGGTCAGTACTACATGTGAGAACATGCTGCGTTTCCCCCTTTAGGCATGGTAATGGTTTTTATCACAGGAAAATACTAAATCTGTATATTTACCCCAATTTCTCCCTTCTCACCCCAGACTCTACTTCCTTATTAAACTCTCCCTTCAAGGGCTTCCTTTGTTCAAACCAGTGTCTCCCACAGGGACTTTTTCTGCTCTCTAGAGAACCTGCACACTGTCTGTTCCTCTGGGAAAACTCAGTGCAGGGGGAGCTGCTCCTTGCTGTGATGCAGTGTCTTCAGCAGGGCAGCAGAGGACCTGAAGTTGCAGCGTTTCTGGGGGTTTCCCTGCTAACGGGACCTGCTGCGCCCTCCCCAGCCCCTCCCTCCACCATAACACAGAGAAGAGTGACAGCCTCTTGCTCCTAGAGCAAGGCCAGAGATTAACATTGGGGAGTCCTGAATTCCATCCCTGTCACTACACGCTGAGTAACTGAAAGAAAACGGCTTAACCTTGGTTCCCCATTTGCCCTTCCTCTTTCTGTGCTGTAAAAAAAAAAAAAAAAAAAAAAAAGGTAGCTGGGAAACCTGAGTGCACACTTGTTTACTTCAAAGCCCTGGTCTTGAAGCAGAAGGGACCAGCCAGGCTTGGCTTGCACTTGAGAATTTGCCCGAGATAAAAGGCGGATAAAGACAGTCTTACAGTCTACCTGGACAAGCCTCATTCTCAGCTCCCTTCTCCCTCCCTTCAGCCTCTGTTCACCAGCATTTCTGTTGAGAAAAGACATAAGACCGTGGTGAAACCGTTGCCTCACTAACCAGACCGGGGTCTTTTTAGACAGGACCTACTTGTTCCCACCCACACTAGGCAAGGGATGTGAGTTCAGGGGCCTCAGGTTTGGGATAATCCTTCATCGTGTGACTACCACCCCCTATCTAACACCTCTTAAGACTTCAGAGAATCATTCATTTACCCTGGCAGAGAGAATATTGTAGAACAATTCTTCACATAGCTCCAGCCCTGAACAAATGATCCAGCAAAGTTCCCATGGTAAATATGGAGAGTTAAGTCCGGCTCCTTCTCCTGAGTACCACCTGCTTCTGCCCTCTGATCAGCCACTACCACGGTTGTGATAATGTAAATAGTTTTACTGTAACTCCTGTAAGAAATGGCGCCCCAAATAAATTGGCAAGCGTGAAAATAAACTGATGAACAAAATGCAAAAAATTGCACATTTTGTTATAAATAAGTAAAAGAATACTACTTTGCTTGCATCTCCAAGTGGAAATATTGATTTCCAGCATCTACCAAACTGTGCTCTCCTGATAGACCCCCGAGGGTCCTCAAGCAGGGGCTGTAACTTTTACTTCTCCAGTGCATAATCTCCTGCCCAGCTCAGCTTAATTCGGTGTCAGGAAGAATGACTTCTCCCCAAACAAAAAAAGCAACGTGCTAAGAACTAAGAGAGCCAGACTGAGGATGATTGAGGCTTAAGCTGGCACAGACACTGGAGGCTAGTGAGACAACCAACCACCCAACCTGCCGGAAGTGGGGGGGGGGGAGACAGTACCACGGGAGCCAATGAGAAGGGTGGGCTCCCGGGGGACTGCCAGGGTACTTGACCAGCCAAAAGTCCCAGTAGCCCTGCTGAAAGATCAGGACTCCCGGAAGTCTTGGGTGAAAAAAGAAACTCAGGTTCATTGTGATTAAGGTACTAGTTTTATTTAAATCAAACACAAGAAAAGCTGTCAAGAACACTTTCCCAGACACATAGTGCAATGGTATTGTGCCATTTAGGTGATAAACACATGGGGTAAATTCTATGGCATTTGACCCCAGAATGGGTCTCCCAGAAGAAGTCATTTCAGAGGTCAGGTGGAAGGTGGCTCAACTTTTTAATGCCATGTTACAAAGTCCTCTGGTGAATAAATATTCACACTCCAGCTCACATCCAGAGCAAAAGGCTCCCCCCTCCCACTTTCTTGATTTTGAGGTGATTGGCCAATGAATAGTGGGTACAGGAACATGCAGGCTTTAAGCTATAGCTGGCCCTTCCATCCACATATAAACTTACTTCTCAGATTGACGCACCCATAACACAGACACACAATACACGCACACGCGTGCTCCACACGGAGCTCTGCTTTCTACATAAGCCTGTTTTCTGTGTCTCTCTCAGTCTAACTGAATGATACAGCATTGCTGCTAAATCAAAGCAGTTAGGGATTTCACATTCTAGTCAAGATCCATTATCTTTCCTTTTTTCTGTTCCTAATAACTGCTGGGAAAGCTTTAAACACATGAAAGTGTTCTTCACCTTTTGAAATATTTCTGTTTAAGTTTCTAGATAGAGCATCCCTAAATCAATGTTATGCTGGTTTTTATGGCTTTTGTCCTTCAGTAAGATTAAACACATTCAATGAGATCAAAAGAATCTAAGGAAACTTGTTTTCCAGAGCTTGGACGCCAATGCATTTTACAACATTTCATAGGCACGAAATGATTTTAAAATGCATGCATTTAATTACCAATAAAATCAGGCTTTATTTTTCCAGTGTTGGGTTGCCGTATGGGTTTCATGTGTTTCACAGTGTAAGTGTCGCATGCCAAGGCTGACAACCAATTCTATGGTAAAGGTTTCTGACTGCCCAAACTTTACATCATTTTTAATGGGAAAATTGATTCAGTTGTTGAGGCCTTTGCTCTGTCACCTACTGTACTCCATCAGAACTTGAGAGGAAAGATGATCAGACATCACTGTGATTGGACAGACAGGCCTGGCTGTTAGATACTCACAGGTTAAAGTCCTCCC